AGCACTTAACTCCATTATTTCATCTCCACAACACTATTACAGGGATATCAGCCCATTTTGCAGATGAGAGAAGGGAAAGATAATAATAAAGGTGAAGTAATTTGTCTAAAGCCAACAACTAGTAAATGCAAGACTGCTTTTAATTCCAGAGCTCCTGTTTTTAACCACTCTGCTCTACTCTGAGATGAAAGGAGGTGGGTTAATGGGCTATATTTCTATGAAGGCAGTCTCACCCAACCACAGGCTCTGGTACTGTGTTAGTCCCAAGTTCACTGTCGTCATGAAGCTACTATATACAACGAAACCTGCCTTTGCTGATGGTCTTACCAATAGGCAGCAGGACACCATCTGTCAAAATTAGCTCCTTATTCTCTGGCTAAGGATGCTTGCCCTGAAAGTATCACATGGACAACTGGGTTTCCTCTAAGTACCATCAGGTTTTAGACACTGTTGTCTCCGCTCTATTCTGGGACAGAGAAGTGACAGTGAGTGACGTGGTGATGGGAGGGAATGGGTGGATTTCAATGTGTGTGTTCTTAGAAAGCAGGTGGAATATTGTAGACTCACTTTAGTACACATACTCTCCACACCTGGAATGAGAAGACCTTTGTCCTCTTAAATCTGGACTGTCAAGATTAAAAATTATTATTTATATATTCAGTGGTTCCATCACTCAACGCATATACTTTGTGATTTTTACTCCATAGTACTCTATTACATTCAGTTGTTTAGTCACTCTCTTTTTATTTTATGAATTTTCTGCTAAAGATACCCTAACATTGATCCCTGCGATGTTTTCTAACGCCCTGTTAATATCAGTCTCCTGTTTCCCACCGATACCACCACCACTTCCACAGCCAGCTGTCACATAATCGGAATCAGTCCCGTGTTTACACCAATCAATGCACTTAATTCTTCCAACTCGCAGATGATCAAACTTGCTGGAGGCTACACAGTTTATACAGGACATAGATGTACATCAGGGTCCAGACATAAGAACTGTTTGCCTGTGTTCTCTTCTTACTTCTGCACATTTATACTCTGGATTCTCTGGTAGGACCCTCTCCCCACTACCAATCATTACCCACCTGCCTAATTCTTATTGGTCCTTCAAGGCTCAACTTAACAGCTATCTCTTTCATGATCATTATCAGTTTTCTTGGCCCCCTCTCTGGCACGGGTGAGGAGCCCCAGCCATGAGATTCATACCCCCCACTCACCTCTGTCCCTCTTTACTACCACAATGCTTTTGCTGAAAGGTTAAGGTGAAAGGTTAAACTGATGTTTTTCTCCTTTCCTAAGCTGTAAGCTCTTCCAGAGCAGGGTAGGGTGTGGGTCTTGTTTTAGGATTCCAACTACTTACCACAGTGCATGGCACAAGGTAAATATATAAATACATGTTGAATGCTGAATAAAGTAACCTGCATTTCTAATTTGGTCAAATTTACTCCTGAATGATGTCATCTGACTTAGCAGGAGAGAGTGGCAATTCTCTTCATGAGCAATACAGTGCATCATTTTCCCAGCAACTTCTAACCTCATTCTCTCCCATTAGGTTTACACTGGAACAAGCAGTTACCATTAACTGAAGAACTCCCACTTCTCAGACACTGAGGCCTATGCTTCACTTACATCACTCTACCCTCAACACATCCCCAGGGTGACATCCTATCCATTCTACCATGAAGCTTAAAATCAGTAATCCTAAGTAACTGGCTTACAGTCACACTGAAGGAAGGCTCATCTGTAAAAGCATGCAGAAAATGCTCTATCATGTATAGTCCTCCTTGCCCTGGTCAGACTCACTGGTATTTGTGAAAGTTACATATGGACTTCAAACAAACCTAAGAACAAACCTATGTTAACTTCAATGTGGGAGTAGAGAAAGCATGGTCAACTAGGAGGTACAGAGGTTCCAATGCAGTTCTACCATGGGCATTATCCATGTTGTAATATTGTTTGTAATCTTACTTTTCTTGTCAGATAGATGGATATTATAATATTTATTTACCTCAAAGGGGGTTGATCATATTTGCCCAATGCTTTGTTAAGGAAGAAGTTAGATGCCCATTGCAGGGCTGTGTACTAAGGCAATGTTTGTCAAATAGTAGAGGAAAACCCTGAGCATCAGAACTACCTAAACTGTCAATGGCAGATGGGGACAGCCAAGCTGGGAATTCAGATTTAACAAGCCCCCAAATGATTCTATGAGACACCAACTTTTCAGAAATACCAATTAACAGCAATGATTCTCAAACTGTAAGGCACACATGGTGTCTTGTTAAAATTCAGGGCAGCAGCAATCAGGCCAAGAGTCTGCATTTCTCACAAGCACCCAGGGGAAACTCGGTGCTGGTTTATGGACAACATCTGAGTGGCAGAGGCTTGGAAGATCTATTCCCACTGGAACAAATAAGCTGTGTTTTGTTGCTGGATCAGAGATCATATCCCTCAACTTCAGATGGTATTTTCTATAAAGCCCAGGCTCTAAGTATGGGTGCAAACCCACCTGGACCACTCAAGACCAAACTGGAACACATTTCCTATCATAGGTAAAGCACAGCATCCTCTTCAGATACAGATAGCACACCCATATTTCACATGTGAAAGAATAATTTGTTGCTACTGTTTTAACCTGACACTGTACAAAACATTTTGTATGTTATCTCTAATCCCCACCCTAACTGCACAAAGTGGATATTCCCATTCCAGAGACAAAGAAATAGTGAGTTAAGTGACTAAAGAGCTTAGGTAACCTGTTGAAAGTCACATGGCTAGACAGGTGTTGTGGCTGGGCTTCTTATCCTGTTCCAGTGGTGTTCCCTGTAGTCCTCATGGTGCTAGGTGCAATTGTGGAATGAAATATGAAAAATAAGAGGAAAATGTTTCCCCTTTATCACTAAGTTTAGGGTTGAGACGGATTCTAGATGGGTGTGTGTGGGGGGGATAAGGTTGCTACTAAAACATGCTGATAGGATCTTTGACCATAGGTCCTCTAAAGCTGATAATGTAGACAGAATTAAGAACACTAGTGACCAGTGAGCTGATCATCAGTGCTGGTACCTACCTTCAGGTTTCTAGCTGTCAGTCTCAACCAGTAAAGAGGAAAACATCTTCTCTATCCCATGGCCTCTCAAGTTGTATGCCCTCTCCTTTATGAGGCTTCTGTAATCTTAGAGTTCACACCAGACACAGGTTTTCCCTACTCTGCCATGTCATAGCTGTCATACCTGCCTACCTGATGAAACTGTGTATGCCTGAATAAACGTACTGTTTAGTTAAGTGCCTTGAAAATGCAGCAATTTTAAGGTTTTCTTTGAGTAACAAAATTTTCTGTACTTTTCATAAGGGTGAGGTGAAGAGAGCTGCACAATAAAAAGATGCTAAGAGAAAGCAGACACACTCAAGCGCACCAAATGGGGAGGGGGGTACTTCCGGCTACAAAACAAACCACCCAAGCAATTACCAGCCAGTGTCTCTACATTCATGATCCTTTGGGGAGAATCCAGGTTCAGTTGTTTAATCTCTCCACGATTAAGTTTCCTAAAGATTCTTCTTTCATAACAGTACAATTATTTACCAATGTAATACAAAACATACAATTAGAAAGCAACAACTCCTGCAATTAAAAAAAATATGTCTACATATTTGAACTACTAAGGATTACAAATTAGTTTCATCCCTATGGTATACTCTACATAAGATGTTTCAAAAATACAAACTGAAACCTAAAAAAGAAACTCTCTGGTTTGGAAACTCATTAAAAAGCCATTTTAGAAGCTTTGTGCATGAAATAAGCAGAAGGTAAGAAACTGAGTCTGGAGTGCTTATTTCAAACTAATTAGCATTTCCCGCTCCACTTCCCAGCTAAATAGATCTCAACCCTAAACCAGAGGGCCACACAGAAACCAGTTTGAGAATTTTCTACAGGCTCTGCTGAAATATACAGAAAGGAACATGTTTGCAATGAGTCATAATTTTTAAAACCTTAACGGTCATTCTCAAGCCATCTGTACGTTTTAGGGTCTGATTATTTTAATAGTTACCCACATCTTGTTTACTAAGATTCCCACTCAGGTTCAAGCACAACACCCCTTCTTGGCTGATTTTTTAAAACATGCAATCTAAAAGCAGAGAACACTGTTCTTGTTCTAAACCTTGCCTCTGCCTTTCGCCAGAGTGTGGACGCGGTACTCTGACGCCCACAAAGAGAAGTTGAAGGGCTTTGGAGTACTCCAAACAGAGGCAGTGGGAGAGGTTAACGGGCAGCCGCTCCGGGGAAGGCAGACGTATAACAGGATGTGTCCGTTTCTAAAGGAAGCAGGAGCTGCACAAGCGGAGGAGGAGGAAAGGCGGAGTCAGCAGTACCCAAGGGAAATAGGCACGCCAGGGTTTGCTAGAAGCTGGCCTGGAACCTGGCCTGCTTAGGGACTCCTGCCCGCCTGGCCCGAGACTGGTGAGCAGCAGTCCTTAGGGACCAAGCTCGGGCCTGCGGGCACGAGTGCTTATAAAAGATACCATTTGCGCTTGGCCTCTGCCAAAGACCGACCGTAGAAAGCAGACCCCCGACACCGCGGCAGGTGAACTTGTCAACAAGTCAGCCCTGGACGGAGTCCCTGTCCGGAGGGACCCGGGACGCCGGGCTCGGCGCGGGTGGGCGGGAGTGGATGCGGATGCCGGCGGCGGGGGGTCCAGCGCGAGAGGCGGCCAGAGCGCGGGGCTCCCCTCCCGCTCCCGGGGCCCATACGCGCTCCCCGGCGCGAAGCCCGCAGGCCAGAGGGAGGAGCGGGGGAGGGGAAGGGCTCGCGCGGTTCCCGGGTAGGGATCCGGGGCCGGAGCTGGCGACCCGCCTGTCACCTGCCGCTCTCTGAGCGCAGAGGGGCGGCCCTGGCCGCCGCTCCCACCGCCCGCAGCTGGGCGTCTCCCGCCGCAGCCGCAGCCCGCCCGCTGCCTCCCTCCTCCGCGCCCCGGCCCCGGCCCGGGCCCCGGAGGACAGGTACCTCGGAGCCCCGGCGTCCAGGAGCCTCGGGGCCGCGGTCGGAGCGTCCCTGCAGGTCCCTCATCCGACGTCAGCGTCCGCGGCAGAGGGAAGGGGCGGGGGAGCACAGGAACCGGCCCTTCCTGCACGGCCGCCGCCGCAGCCGGAATCGCAGCAGAGGAGCCCTGCGCGCCGCAGCGCAGCGCAGCTGCCGGCGGGGAGCGGGCGCCCTCCCTTCCCCGCCGGGCCTCGGAGGCTGCACTGCCAGGGGTGTTTCCTTGACCCTCGTTTCCTGGGGTGTCCCCGGCTCGGATCTGCCCTCCCTTCACCGCCAGGCCTCGGGGGCTCCACTCCCAAGGGTCTTTCCTTGACCTCCGTCTCCTGGGGTGTCCCCGCTCAGATCTGCGGCCCCGGTGACGCCGCCCCTGCTGTCCCCAAGGTGTTCCACGTGTCCATATCCTTTGCGTCACAATGACCTGGCTACAGGTGGGAACCTCCTCATGCTTCCCTCTGGGCAGTGAGTGGTGTCTGCTGCTTGCCTCCACCTTAGGTTTCAGAGCTATAAAGGACAAGAAATGTCAGGTCTTCAACGCCCAGAAAAGTTACAGAGGGCCTGCACCTGAAATTTAAGTTTAACCTTAAGGGTGAAAGATGGTACTTTAAGAAGAACTGTGTATGTGTGAGTGAATATATTTTCCTATCCATTACCCTACATCTCTTATGCTTGTTATTGACACAGCGGTCTCTTTGTATCCTTTGTCACCACTCCAAACACTTGTTTCGGGAGGATTTTGCAGATCACAGGAAGAAAAACTGTTCATATAACTGCTTCCTAATATTATTTGTGCTGAAATGAGATCCCAGTGTGCATCCTTGGTTATATTATATATTTGCAGATAAATCCATTGAACAGTCACTAGTTGAAACAGTTGAGCAGGGTGAAATGAAACGTAGCTGAGTAATGACATCCACGCCTCACACGAATGGGGTGACTGGCGTATTTTGTATACTTCACATTTCTTACAGAAACCTAATATTGTAGGTAAAATTGCTTCTCCTGTTTCACAGGTGAAGACACTGCCCAGAGTGCCATAAAGAGATTCCCAAGCAGGAGTTTAAACCTCGGATTGTTTGAACCAAGAGACAACACTTTATCTCAAGATAAAATGGGGTTTTAAAAAGTTATTTTTCTACCATCATATATCAATAACTGACAATATTGATCAGTTAATTGACACATTGAGAAAAAAGATTCCTTCAAAAAACGTTTTTCTTACTATAATATTCTCATTCCTCTCAGTAGTGATTTGCTACTTGCAGGAAAATATATCTGAGATCCTGTTTATCCAAGGTTGCTTTTGAGGAAGACATTTACACTTGTTACAAGAAAGCCAGTGGAAGGTGTGTTCAAAATGTCCCTTCAACATGAAGTTAATTGGAACGCAAGCATTGAAGGAAATGAGAAGGAAAGTTGGATTATATAACTTTTAGGTGTCTTTTTTGCCCTTCTAAAGGCCAAGGTGAAAAACTAGTCTGTGAGTCCAACAACTTGTCACAAGGGCTAAATGTGGTTTCAAAGATGGTGTCTAAAAGTGAACAAATGTGTGACACAAGCACTGTCCAGATAGCAGGACAACACAATTTCCTGACCTGTCAGAAAATTTAAGAGAAATGTTAACAACTTTTCATTATTCTTAATCTTCTCCTAACCCTTAGGATAATATTTGAGGATGGAAACAATAAACTCCTGCTTATTCTACATCATCATGATGAGTACTTTTCTTTCCATTTAAAAATGTGCTCCATGTATCACACTTCAACTGTTTCTGGATATCAGATTACTTCTGTCCTGCTGGTCAGCCACAGGGTGTGAGTGAGAAACTGAAACAGTATCTAAGAAGAATGATTACCTAGGATGAGATCTAGAATTAGGAAAGAAATAAGGTACATTTTCTAGAGTACAATAGGATGACAAACTTCTTTGTAGGGGAGAAAATCCTTAGGTCCTCAATTTGATGAATTTTGAGAATGTCCCAAATCCGAGGTGTACTAAGAGTACTGCAGGAGTTAGGAATGGTGTGAGGCTGCCTTATTATCCAAGATGGTAATGGATTCAGTGAGACAGGTTGATTTTCTCTCACATAGAAGAAATTGGAAGGTAGGTTTGGGGCTACCTTAATCCCTACTGTGTCATCAGAATGTCACCTTCCCCTCTCACTTAGTCCACCATCTACAGCAAAGCAGTACTGTTCAAAGTTTAATCCAGGTAAGATTCAGAGAAACCAAAACCCTCACAGAGTGCTGGTAGCAGTGAAAATGGTGCAACCTCTTCAAAACACAGTCTGGTAGAAACGTGTAACATAGAAACACAGAACATAGAAAACCTATGTTCAAATAAGAATTTACACATGACTGTCTACGGCAGCATTATTCAGAGTAGAAGATTGAAACAACCTGTCTACCCACCAGTACACAAGTGAATAAACAAAATGTGGCATATTACCATAATGGAACTTGATTTGGCCATGAAAGGCAACGAAGTACTTATACATGCGATAACGTAGATGAATCTTGAAAACACTATGCTAAGTGAAAGAAGCATATATTCTGTGACTTCTGCTGAGTCATAGCTATAGATTATTTTTCATTCATATGAAAGTCCATGATAGGGAAGCTAGAAAGACAGCATATTCGTGATTATTTAGGGGTAGAGAGGCTGTGGGAGAATAAAGTAAGAGCTGAAGGGTGGGGTTTTCTTTCACGATGATTAAATGTTCTAAGATTGACAGTGTTGATGTTTCATGCATCTGTGATATACTAACAGCACTGAACTTTCCATTTTACAATGTCTGGTCAATTGTATGATACGTGACTATTATCTCAATCAAGCTGCTTACAAGAATTAAAATTTTTTGATGTTCATGAATAGTTTTGTTGAAGCACGCACAGCATAAATTCAGTATCTTTCCCAGAATTGTACAGGGTAAGAAAAACAACAATACACACACAAACCCCAAATGCAAATTATTATCAGATTTCTGGGTGTTGTGTAAATTATATTGACATCAAGAAGCTAAATGTGAGGACTTGGGACCCAAAAAGCTGTTTCTGGAAGATAGAACTTTCTCAAGTTCACCCACTAAATGCCTCTTGATATGAAAGAAGTTCCTGCTGTACAAATATTTTGCAAGTATCCTCTAATATTATCTCAGCTTTTGTAACTATCTCTTTTAATAAAGAAGCAAACAATATTTTTAGATAAGCACAAAAAGATAATGAATTTTATGGAATTGAATTTAATAATGAGGGGAATGAAATGATACTTAGTTTTGAAAAACTTAATATTAATGGAGGATACCATTAGAGGTAAACAAACTTAGTTCCCCATCCTAACCCATCAATCCACTCCTAATACAAAAATCAAGAAAAATAACACAAAAGTAAAATATAAAATAAGAATTCTGGCACCAAGCCTCCAAATTTCCTCCTTAATTCCTTAAAAGAACACTGTAAGACATTTTCAAATTAATGCTAGTTAATTTGAATGGGCAATTTACTTACAAGAATAGTTCATACTTACAAAAATCGGTTTTTCATGACAGAAGTTTCATGATGTCTTATGCATACTTTTAGCTGAAGAATTGTAAGGCTTTTCTGTGTTTGTCAAGTTACTTTTCCTGTTCTTCCTGTTAGAGCACCTACAGTGAGTTAGATTATCAATAACCTCATCTTGTGTGACTGCAAGAATGTCATATTCCCAATATTCAGGAATAAGTATGTGTTTTAAGAGAAATTTAATCTACAGACCATCTCTGATTACTGAATCAATAATCTTTCTCTTCCATAATTCATATGTACTATATTTATATAAAATACATTAATATGCTGTTAATTTATATGTAATGCAATATATTTTGGGAAATTGTTGATATTTATTTTTAACGTTTTAAATGCTCCTTACATGCTCATCAACAGAACAAGTGAGGTAAATTTGTCTTGGCAAATGAATTCTCTGCCTTATAGTGTCCTGTAGCTCTGAAATCTATCAATTTCCTGGTTCATCCCTGGCAGCATTTTATTAACTCATTGTGCCTGGCCCATAGTAGGGGATAAGATAGAACTTAAGCTATTATTATTATGAATGTGTTTAATAAGATCCAAAACTTAATCACTGATAAGAGAAAAATAACTTTTCCTTAAGAATTTCTGGGAGATTAAAATTAGTTAATGTATAAGAATAAACTTTGGAAAACATGATGTTTTAAAATTATTTAATGGATTATCTGATTTACATTAGTTGCTAGAAATTTAAATAAGGATTAAATTACATTTTACTGGCAAAATCAATCATTTGTATATTATAAGACTTTAGAAGAAATTGGATATACTCAAGAACACAGATTAAACATCTCAGCCAATTTTGGATTAATTCCTGAGATTGTTTGTGGTCTCCATGTAGCAAAACACAGCTTTTGTTATATCCTCTGTAGATCTGGTTATATCTTTAAGCAAATGTATGTCAGCATATGAAAATAGAATAAATGTTTAATTAGTAGCATTAACTTTTGTTAAATAAAATTAACTTCTTTTCCCTTCAAAATTAGGCTAACATGAAGAAAAAGAGCTTATTTACACATCGAGAAGGGTAATTATTTTCACTGCTATACTAGCTTAGATTGCTGCATAAATAATGCAGCTCCCCACGCTCCCACCCCTACTATCATGCACTGGAATTTCTGCAAGGAAAATCCTGGTGATGGCATCAAAATCGTTCATTTTAGGGCCAGGGATTTAGCTCAGTGATGCCAGGCCTGCCTCACAAACACAAGGTTCTGAGTTAGATCCCCGGTATGGGTAAAAAGAAAAAAAGAAAAAAAAATCATTCATTTTATCCACTCAGATCAGGGTAATTCTGCTTCTGACTAAAAAATGGGATTGGACTCCACAGCAGTACCCTGGTCTTGGTAAGCATAAGGGCGATAACTCCTCAAAGGGTCACACTGTGTAGTAAAGAACAGGACTTTGAAGATGAAACTAGGTCTTTAGGATCTCTCTTTCCTCTACTCAGGGACAATTTAGAAGAGTTACTAAGATCTCATAGTAAATGTAGTACAGATGAAGCATGGGCTGAACAGATGTTTGGCTTAATCATAGTGTACGATACTGAGTTAGGACTACGGTCCCAGTTTCATA